AGGCGGATCGTTGCAGCGTGCGCATTGATGCGGCCGCTGTTGCACCAATATCGCGATAACAATATTTTTTTGATACATCGTTCAGCCCTATTGCATATGCCTTTTTATTTTTGTATCTGCTATCATCATGAAAAGATTGATGGTTTAGCTGGTTTTGGCTCTAACAAATTGGCAACCCTAATATGATCTTAACTCTCAGGTAGAGCTGGGCGATATGGCCAAAAATATTTTATTACTATACGAGAATTAAATCACGATAACAATATAATTACAATATAAATAGTGCTGTAAAAAATCTTCAAAGCTTTCCAGACAGAAATGTAAAAAAAGAGAGGACACCCTCACTCAGCCAATCAGCTACAAGAGAACCGTTTCTCTTATAGGTTCACAGATGGGGTTCAGTGTAGGGGTGTGACGCGATACTTTCTCCCGCGATTCGATTATCGATATGCATTTGCCAAGTATCAATATCAATTTTGAAAAAAAAAAAATAATAAATTATTTTAATTTTTCTTTTTTACAAATTATTTTTTAAAATTGGTATCAATACTTAATATATGGCTACATTACACATCTCCATTCGATTTATCATGAAATAAAGTGTATTTTTTCTTTTATTTATGCCATACATTGGCATATTGTATATTTCTGACCAATATATCAATAATTGTCATATCGTTATCGTGATAATATCGTTATCGTGAGCTTTGTATCGTGTATCGTATCGTATTGTGAGGTACCCTTAGGTTCCCACCCCTGTGTATGAAGTGTGTGTCGAGGGGTTCTACCATAAAACAGCTTTAGACTCTGAATAGACGCTGAAAAGGCTCACCTATGGAGAGGTGGTAATCAATGGAGAAAGAACTAGCTTTTTTAATTGAAACGGCCATCAACATGCAGAGGTTACCGTCTACACCGGTTCCCGTTACACCCCTTGGACAAAACTTGAGAAAGGACAGTTAGGATAAAGCTTGATGCCGACTTCTACTGCCACAACTGTAAAGCTGCGTTCCCACCGGAACATGCGGCGAGTTTCAACTTTCAATCAGACTGTAAATATTAACAGACGTTGTCATGCCAATATTAATATAGGGCGACAGTAGCTCAGTTGGTCTTTCAGCCAAAAGGTTGTGGGTTCGAGCCTCAAGACTTTCACCATCGACTCCCACTCATGTCTGCTGTCGTTGTGTACTTGGCAAGACACTTAACCTCTGGGAACACCAGGTGCCAGCTACGGCTGTAAAGTGCCAAACTGCCGTTGTGTCCTTAGGCAAGACACCACCCCCATTGCCTAGGAGTCTGGTGTGTGTGTGAATGGTTGGTGGTGGTCGGAGGGGCTGATGGCACATACTGGTAAACCACATCAGTGTGCAAACACATTGCGTCAATTATACCGGAATTACCGCAAGCGGCATTATATCGCCTAGCTCTGATTGTTCATGCTTAAAAATAATGTTAACAAATGTCATGGATATTATGTTTGTTGTATTTTTCAACTTTTGTCCAGAAAACGTCAAATATGATGTCCATCTGGGGACACATGAGATTTAGATGTACCTGTGATTCAAAATGAAAATATTACATTCTGTCCTTTTAACACTGGAGCAAACTGATATGTCATGTGCAGGGGCGGATAAGACTAAACCCTCAGTTCCGCACATGGATTGATAAATATACATCTTGACATGATGTAAAATGTCATGTTAACTGCACGGCTGCAAAAATAATCACAATTGAATCAAAATCGATCAAAGCAAATATCGCATAGACTGCCATTTTATAATTTCATTTACGATCAGCAATTTATTTTCATGAATCATCATTCAAGTCCAGAAGACCTTAGTTTCAATCAAAGTAAGATTTAAAGTGATTATTTTCTAACGCAAACGTTTATTTTCAAGGTTACCCTAAATGTTTTCTTTGTACCTTTTTTAACAATATCCAAGCTTCACTAAAAAAAGATATTGCACACCGAATTGCGATTGTCAAATCTGAAAAATTGCAGATATCATAAAATCATACATGCAAGGATAAAGTTCATCTTCCTTAAAGTCCACTTTAAGGAACATAAGATGTATTTTAGAACTGCCAAAATAGATAAAATACAAAAAGGAAACCGTAAAACATAAAAACTAATATCTCATATCAAGTTGGAATGGTGTGCATTCTATAAAGAGGTTTGCTCAGGACCATAGCAGCGGATCTGCTTCATGGTTTCTTCAGATCTAACATTGTAGGGACTGGCTTAAATCTGTCTGAATTAAGTTAATGACACTGAATGATGAATGAATAAAGATGTAGATGAGTGTGTTTATAGTGAGGAGCTATAAAGCAGCAGGCATTCCTTATAGAGGCCCCTGATTCCAAGTACTGGCTCAGTCAATTCTAACCGTGCATGTATAGGACCTAAAAGAGTTTTTTTCTTCAAGTTTGGCCTATTTTACTTAATTAGATTAAATCAAATGAATTCTAGTATAGCCGTAACCACAACAGTATTATCTAGGAGGACTTTACACAACCGTTGAATTCGCCAACACAGATTAGAGAATTAAACTGTTTAAACACAAGAAATGCAATGTAATAAATTGGTTGTTGCTACCATAGTTACATTAATGATATATCAATTTACATTTGTGTGTACTTGGAATAAATGGGCAAAAAGGATCGTTATGAGTTAGTCCAAAATATGACGACAAAAACATCACCTTGCTGTAAACCACATTACCATTTGGGAGCTAAAAGCTGTGCGGACTACGTTGTTTATAAAAAATATGTATAGGCCATGTAAAGCTGATTGTTCGGAGTATCTAGGGAAACTGCAGTCTACTTTGGTGCTCAGATGAACTTGGAGGTCCTCTAAGAGCTGGTGTAACGCTGCATGTATTATCAATGAGTTTCCATGGATTTTCTGTGACCGAGAAGAACCCATCCCTAGTACTACATGTCATGTACCATTACTCTTAGTCGTGATACTACTGCATGAGCAGCGTCTGATATAGTGGCAGCTTTGTGCTTTTTAGGAAAAAGAAATGGATCCAGAAACAGCAATATAACATAAGAGCCCTCACACTTAATTCCAACTTCTCAGCCAGCACAAATCATTACTGTTTGGAGTCACCTTCCAAATCCAGTGGGCAGTTTCTCAAACAAAAATAAAGGCAGATCATGGTAGTAAACCAGGTCATAATTCATTTGACATGTATGTGGGCTTGAGCATGATAATGTGTGCAACCTGCCAGACCCAGACTCACAGCACACTGCAGCCATTCATGCACACTGTGGCCTGTTCTTAAATGGGATTTACAACGTAAACACTGCATGTGTTTCAAAACATAGACCATCACTGTTTTTAAACATACACCTCCATGTTTCCTATACGGCCTGAAAAATACACTGGGGGGGTCAATACCAATAAATGAAAGTATACAATTCAAAGGCAATTTAATACGGCCACCTTCATTCTATTTATATATTAGTAGCTTAATTAGTATGGTGGAAGCCTTATTGATTAGGCTATCCAAATTCAGAAAAGTAGATTTGGAAAAGTTAAAGTGAGACAGTTACTGTAAATATGAATGAAATTTATGCTGATGAGTAACATGAAGAAAACCAAGTTTGTTCCCTCACTCAGTGCATGATCAACCTTTACAACAATCCTCAATAAGTACAATAGTCAGACCGTTTGATCCTTCTGATTGGCAGATTTGGCAGATTGGTCAGATTGTTGAGCTGGATCCAGGAGGTACAGCACCAGCAGTGTGATGGCAATGACCGTGCAACAGTTTCCTCCTCGCCCACTTTTTTTTTTTTTTTTGTATCAAAAGTTGCACACGACTGTAGATAGCGGGTGTGGACTTTACTCACCCTTTTCGAAGGCCAGGAGGCAAAACACTGCAGTGATCAACAAGCGACAGGACAACTGAGTGTGGCAGTAACTTCAAGTCTTCATCATGGCACCACAGAGGATTCAGCCACAATCCCACTGTGTCCTGCACCGTTTCCGCCAAAAACGCCCTCGGCTCAAAGCGTCAGTGTGACTTTGTATCAGGCACAGATTCCTGAATTATTGAAAACGTGTTTTCTTCTTTCTGCTGCAGCCAGATCAGTTACAAGACTTTGGTGTAACCTGATTCCTGCTCCGCCTTACAGAAAAAGTTTCAAACTTGTGTGGATGCGAAGATCAACAGATTGATGTTGGCTAGAGCCAATGAAGGAGCAGGACCAACCCAACCCAAACAGGGCCTGCCCCCTACTGGATCTTGTAATTATTCACTGCCTAACCTATGCTTCAAACCAAAAGCTAACTGCTTCAAAGGACATCATGTTAGCTGTTGTCACGACTATTCACATTATTGTTGTCGCATTTGTTTCCATTCACAGACATCTTGACTACGCATCCTTCTGAGATGTGCGGCTACAGGACCTACAGGACCCAAGAGGGAGGGGGTGTTCTGCGGATGTGTTCAGGACACGGGAAGTTCTTAAAAACAAAAGAAAGCAAATAACGTAAAAGTTATTGTAATTACGCGAAAATGTAAAGGCCTATGACATGAATTTTACCGTTTTACTTTTTCTATAGTTGGTTAGATGTCTTAAAAATGTATCGTGGATTTAAAGCTAATAGACCCATGATGTAAAGGTGCTTGCGTAGAGCGCGTGCTTCACCTATGGCGCCATCTTGTGGGTATTTATTGGACATACAATAGTTTGCTTTTTAAACCAAACGCGTGCTCACCATTGGACACTTTTTCGAGTTTGAGAGAGTCAAATCGAAGAATAGCTCTCTTAAACTTGATCTTTGATTCAAATAATAAAAGATCATTGACCTCATCATACAATCATGCAGTCATACGTATGCATATGTACGTCATGCCCATAGACGGTGTCGTGTTATTATAATAGATCCATGGTCGTGCCTAATGCCATTTTTTTTTTTTTTTATGGTGACGTATACCAGGAAGTGACGTCCACAATCGACGTGTCCGGAAAACTGATCCAACATGGCGGCGCAACAGAGCGATGTTGATGAACTCTTCGATGTTAAAAATGCATATTATATTGGCAGTTACCAGCAGTGCATCAACGAGGCTCAAAAAGTAAAGGTAAATAAGACTGAAGCGGTTAATAGAGTAATGGCATTAGCGGGGGGAGGTTTGCAAGACACCAACACAGTGCATCGGCTAACTGCTTTTTGTTTGCTTCCAGCCTTCTACACCAGAGAAAGAGGTGGAAAGAGACATGTTTTTGTACAGAGCCTATATTGCTCAAGTAAGAAACACTCACCACCGTACCTCTCATACTCAACACAAACGCATTTTAATGGGATGTTTGATTGCAGAGAAAGTACGCAGTAGTCTTGGATGACATTAAGGCCAACTCAGCACCGGAACTCCAAGCTGTCAGAATGTTCGCAGAGTATTTGTCCTGTGACAACAAAAGGTATACATTCATTCACTATTCTATCATTTTTCGGTAAATATTAATTCCTGTGACTGTTTACCAAGGGATGCAATTGTCGATGAATTGGATAAAAAGATGGCGAAGAGTGTGGATGTAACCAACACAACCTTCCTCCTTATGGCTGCTTCCATCTACTACCACGAGTTGAATTCCGATTCTGCATTGAGGACTTTGCATCAAGGAGAGAGCCTGGAATGGTAACATGTTCAGTGTATTGTCACTATTAAAAATCCAGATCATCATCTGTTATATGTTATATAAAATCTTATATATTTTAATTTTTCAGCATGGCCATGAGCATCCAAGTTCTTCTCAGTTTGGATCGTCTTGACCTGGCAAGGTATGAATTACTGCTGGAGGAACACACTTTTTACTTTCTAATACTTTTTACAAATCAGACCACAAGAGCTGGTTAAAATTGTATTACAAAACATGAATCTTTTATGTACTGAGTTCTGATCTGGCTGAGTGATGTTTGGAACTCTTTCTCACAAGAAACCATAGCCAAAATACTAGTGGATGGAACCAAACAGTTTTAAGAGCAATTTTGAGCATGTGGCTCTTAAAGTCCAGACTAAACTGAGCATGCAGCAGAATTTCAAAGATTATTCTATTTCTGTAACTGTAAATTCTTAACCTATCTTGCAAACTAATGTCCATCTGTTTATTACACTTTTTGTTTTTTCTTTTACAGGAAAGAGCTGAAGAAGATGCAAGAACAGGATGAAGATGCTACTCTAACACAGCTAGCTACAGCCTGGGTTAACATTGCTGTGGTACGTAAACCGTTCCATTCAATTTTAGCAAAGACAATGAAACACTGTAATATGATAGAACATTTGGTCTATCTTCATCATGTTTAGGGCGGAGAGAAGCTGCAAGATGCATACTACATTTTTCAGGAAATGTCGGACAAATATTCCTCTACACTGCTCCTTCTCAATGGACAAGCTGCTTGTTACATGGCCCAAAACAAGTGGGAGGAGGCAGAGGGAGTCCTACAAGAGGCTCTTGACAAGGTAATTAGGATTCACCGCACAATATACTTTGTTTATGGGGGGGTGTGATATATGTGTAAAAGGGCAGTTACTGATAACAGAAAATTATATTTAAAAAAAACCATAATATGTGGTTTGATTAATTTGGCCGTGCCGGCCTATTGTTACTCTCTGTTTCATATTATTATTATTATTATTATTATTATTATTGCTTACTGCTTACTTTTTGCACTGTGAGGTTTTTAACTCACTAATGTGATACTGGCTATTTATGATTAACTTCAGATGGGATGACATTCGTAAAAATTAAACACTTCAGCTTTTTTACAGGATATTAAAACAACTTTCTTGCAATTGATTTGACATCTTTAAAACACTAGATGGCACAATTTTCTCATTTACCAACAAGTATTCAAAAAACCAAAATTAATCCCAACTGCATAGATTAGGGAAAAAATTTAAGTGTGGAGATCACGCATGCATTTGTCAACATACTTTTTGAATGGGACGCCTGTCATACCACTGAGGTCTAACATGTTTGCCATGGTTATTTCAGGACAGCAGCAATCCAGAAACATTGATCAACCTTATAGTGCTGACTCAACACTTGGGCAAAGCACCAGAGGTGAGACTTTGAACCATAAAACTGCTCACTCAGATTTAAGTGAATCGAACTTCAAGTATAGAGGATACCTACGTTGGCCAACAACAGTACATGATGCTATATCTAATCAAGGCTCTGATTACTGGGGTTGTGCCATACGTCACCTCGGCATATCTCTTATTTTATCGTTGCATTGATCTTAGAAGTCAGGAGTTCATTGATAAAGACGTTATAATTGGTTTTACTTTAGATGGACTTTGTGCCAGAAAGTGACCGTTGACTGGCAGCTGTCATTATATTGTAGTGATAATCATCGGTTGTATTCAGGGTTAAACTGACCATTTGTTACAAGGCTTAACATTTGTTAACACTACTATTACAAATAGCCAATCTTCCTATGTATATTCATTTTCTGTTTTTGCTTGGCTATAGGTAACAAACCGGTATTTATCACAACTCAAAGATGCACATAGACGCCACCCTTTCCTGAAGGACTATCTGGCAAAGGTAATCCAATTCACTTTTCCTAACTGCAATAAATGCACTTTAGTTGAAGCTGTTACATCCTTGGCCTTGCATGTTTTGATCATTCGTTACTTTGCAGTCTACTGTTCATATCCTATAAATCTTGCATGCTGATAGAACAGCTGTTATGCCACTATTACACCTATGATGTAATATATTTTCCTGCTGCTTATTCAAAGTATTTTGTTTCTTTTGTTTTCACCAGGAAAATGAGTTTGACAGACTTGCGATGCAGTATGCTCCAACTGCTACGGCATGAAACCTTGCTATTCATGTTTATTTTATATTATTAGTTATTCTGTACTATGTTAATTGGCCTTGCAAAACAATGTATATTATCTAATGTCAACTGTTGTATAATGTAATAAATCAAAATGTAATATACCAGTCTTCATGTGTGCCTTGTGTTTTTGTTATCAGAATCTAATTAATGAACCCTTTTTGCTGCAATGAAATTGTAAACATTAAACAAGCTTGGGTACTTCATAAGTACAGTGAGGCAAAAAAGTATTAAGTCAGTCACCAAAAGTCCTCCCACTTGAGATGAGATGCCTGTAATTTCATACCGGTATGTCTGAACTCCTAACTATGAGACACAAAATCACTGAGTTTCAAAGTATTAATTTGCTAATTCTTTGGGAAAATAGGTATTTAGTCACCTATAAATTAAAAAGCAAGATTTCTGGTTGTCTCACACGTGTAACTTCTTGTGTAAGAGGCTCCTCCAAGTGTCCCACTGCTTAAATCAGCACATGTCCAGGCCCTTCTGAAGTTTATCAGAGAGCCTTTGTATGATTGAAATGAGCATTGGGAGAAAGTTCTATAGTCAAATGAAACCAAAATGTTTTATGTTTGGAGGAGTAAGAATGTCATCTACTGTGAAGCATGGCGGTGGAAACATCATGCTTTGGGGCTGTTTTTCTGCAAAGGGACTGGACGGATTGATCAGTTCAAAGAAAAGAATTAATGGGGCCATGTATTAACATTTTGAGGGTAAACCCTCTTCCATCGGAAAGGGCATTGAAGAAATGTGCCTGCTGTACCAGTCCCAGAAAGTACGTTTGTGAACAAATCAGACCACAATATTCTGTTGTTTATCTTTTGTAGAGATGAGTGGGGTGGTCTTCTTTTTAACTTTTCTGTCGGTCGAAGCTTATCCCAAGATGTCACAGAGTCCAAAAACATGCCTGTGAAACGTTCTGGAGTTTTGTAGCTACTGGGTTTAATTAACTTTGAAGCTACAATGTATATTCCAAAATTCGCATTTTCATTCTTCAATAGTTTGGGAAATGGGAAATAAACCTTAGGTATGACATGGTGCATAACCAACATGTTAAACAGCATGAATAACATTTTGTAACAAAATATTTATTTTGAGTTGGAAAAGTCTTGGATTTCAGATTTGTAAAAACAAGGTGAAACGGTCTCAAATTCGTTCACGATCTGACCCCTCCTGAAAAGCAGATGTTCTAAATCTGCACTACTGTCTCTTTAAGCGAACCATTTTTTCATCCAGCGTGTTCAGAAAGAAGATAGCGGTCTGTCACGTCACGCCCCCACTGGCCCTCTCTCATTTGTGCATAAGCGCCAAACGCACGCTGCTGTTGCGTCTTTCCCCTCTGAACGCCGCTGAAGTCGAGAGCGTAGACCCCCCTCCTCCCACACACCACACCGGTCTGATTCAGGCGACATCCCGCGCAGCCTCCTCAGGATAAGAACCTCTTCAATACCAACATTTTCGCTTCGCTGGGCCAACACACCAACCAGTTAGGCTTGTGATCCCAACTGTGGTGGGATTTGAACCAGAAGCAACTGCGTAACAAGGCGGTGGAAGCGAGCCGCGGAGGAGATGAGCTGGGCGGAATAACGGCCGCCTGTATCGCATGTGCTGTAGGGCTTGACGGGGCGCTGAAATGCTACCAGACCTCAATGAACACGGGCCTCGTCTTTTTATCTGTGCGGCTACTGCGTCTCATCTATAAGTATTTTATTCTAGATACGCTCTGCATTGGATTTTGCCGCCCAGACTGATGGTGTTTTATGTCGCTTTTCTTTTAATAACTTAGCTAGGGCTAACCGGAGCGCGCGCTGCTGCTGCTGCTGCTGCTGCTGCTGCTGCTGCGTCCTGCGTAGCGGAATGATGCGCACATTTGTGGCTCCGATTATCTATACTAAGTCTATTCAAGAATTTATTTAAACAATTCATTCTCCCACCAAACCCTCCTATGTTCAGATCTGCAAACCTCTGATAAGGCTGTATCTTCTATATTATGTACAATATGGGCTATATCTTAATATGGGTAACAAAGAATTAAGGCTAGCTGCGGAAGAGGGTAAGCTGGTTAGATAAGCTTGTTTTGCGTTTAAGGTGAGGTTGCAAGCTGGTTGGTGGATTAGTGACACGGCGTGGACACTGCCGCTACTTGGACCCTGTATCTTTTTTTTCTTCGTGGGATCACGTTATTTGTTCCCTCATTTCCGAGCACCACCACCACCACCATGGGGAGTCACCATGAGGGTGCTGAGCCGGGGCAAGTGGAGCCCATGCCGGGATACCTGGAACTCATCTTCAAGGCTTCTTCATCCATGTTCGGCGCATGGAGAGACTGTAGTGCATGCGGGATGGAGCTCTCTAAAAGGACTCTGCTGGATAACGCGTGCTTCACGTGGATTGAAATCTTCCTTTTCTTCTTCTGCGCCTTTTTGTGGACCCAAGTCCGACAGGGACTAACGGAAAGTTTGTTCCGGGTAAGTGACCCCTCTCCGAACCCTGTGCCAACGCATGCTTATGGACACAAGGTGTATTAAACACCCTTAATGAATAGGCTTATTGGCTCATTCCTCTAATTCAAATGTCAGGACTGCTGTACTTGTCCTGCTTCTGTCAGGAAACATATGAGCAGGACTTATTTGACCCGGGAAAAAAACAAACTCCCTCGAATCTAGTCAATGCATAGATCTATAGTGTCTATGTCACAAAACATGAACTCATCTAAGATACCTAGTTTCGCTCTACTCTCCATTTAGGTTCACATTCCTTCTTGTTATGCATGATATGTTCTGTGCTTTTTGTTTGCATCATGGGTTGTAGAACAAACTAAAATGTTCAATTTTGGACGAATTGGTAACACTGCAAGACACACCTGTCTTTCTATGGAGAAGTTGTATAACCACTGAATGTAGTTTTGAGTCCAGTGGTTTAAAAGTAATATTTATTACACAGATAGAGATTATTTAATCTTCAAGCCCCTTGTAGGTCATTCAGTATGGAAGCATAAAGCGACTGAAAATTCTATAGTCAATTGGATAATCGTCGTTTTCAATGTCCAGGCCAGATGTCCTGTCTGATTGACGTATGGATGTCTGCCTGCATCACTTGTACCCTTGTTGCCCAGAGTATTGACCAGATGCATCAACGTCATCCAGTCACGTGATTGTGCATGAGCTTACGGCGGAAGTATTGGAAACTAGCATTGCGGCGCGAGCAAAACGGACTACAACTCTTTAAAACGGAGCTTCCTCTCCTAAATCGAGAAGTGGCTGCTTCAAGCACATGTTCAATTACGTTATTGGTGGAAGTAGGACATCTTGTCAGGGCTCACAAAGAGTGGTATTTGGAGAAGTTAAGGATCGCCGAACTGGATGTTGACCCGTACCTTCTCCCCCCAGTATCGATTAAATGAAATGTCTAATTTTGTCCGAATGTCTAATAAGATCTATCATCTTATTAGACATAAGATGATAGATCTTTATTCGTGCCACAGCGGGGAACATGTTGTAGCGCACATACAGGACATTAGTAAGAGACATGTTTGACTTGTATCATTGTCCTCCAAATAAATTGATGGAAAGAAAATAAATACAACTTGTGATTGATTTATCTTGTAAAAAGTGTTCATTGTATATTAGGGAGTACACGGCTGCCAGTCCTTTTGGTTGATTTCCGTTATCGTCGTCTGATGTCTTCACGACGAGCAGGTATCAGATAAAACCACACATCTGGCTTATGTCCTTGCCTGTTAGTACAACCAACCGCACTGCAAAGTATCACAGTTTTGGCTGTAATTTGCTGTTTTGGTCAGGTTTTCATAGGCTCGCAGTTAGACTTCCGCCGTATGTCACGGAGAGTGGGCGTGGCCGGGACGTCACATACAAGTGGTCAATAGGTCAGGCCCAGTGATCTCCACCCTGTAAATGCCCCAGTGAGGGTTCCATCTGCTCACACAAGGCTTCACACTTGGATTTTCTGCCATCTTCTGTTTGGGTGGGGTAAATGAGGGACACTTACCTCATTCTAAAAAGATGATGGCTCTGTCTAAATCCAGCTGTGTTCTGAGGTTGCATGAAATGTTTTGTCATATGGGGTCATATGGCTCACATTCCATGTGTGAAAAAATATTTTAACTAAATCTCAGACATACAGTGCCTCTAGTACATTTTGATTGTCGATTAGGTCAGAGGTGTGTGTTTGATGCACAATGAAATTGTGGAATTAAGTTAATTCTAGGTGTTACACACAAACAACACTCATGCGATGATCAGAACCATTTTTATTGCCATTTGTGAGAAACGGAGTGTTCGCTCAAAGTTATACAATCTATATTAGTTATGAATTTAAGTACAATGCTTTATTATGGCCATGCATACTTGGCTTCCAGAATAAGGAATTTGTTATCTTAAAAGATAATTTGAAAAATGAAAATGTTGCACTGAACAAGAGTTTGAAACACATGTGTGGTTGTTACAAACCTTCTGTCACATTTAGTCTGTAGTTTTATCCTTTGGCCTCAAGAAGATGCAATAATTAGCATCCTGTTTGATACTTACAGTCACATTTGTAGAATGAAACTTGACCTAGTTTAAACCCAACTCCACATTTTACCTTACAAAAATCCAGCTGTAAGGGAAAGTTAGTGTTTACTCTGTTGTCACTTTGTTGGCAGCGACGGTGACAGTGAGTGGACTTTACCCTGGTCGACTGAGAGCTGTGAAATGAGGTCAACACCTGGAGCCTGAGTGGCTTGTTCTTCATGTCACAGTTGTGGAGTTCATTCTCACCTAAACTACACGGACGATTAATCTATAGGGATGTTTGATATCTATAAGGAAATATATTCAAGCTTTCTTTTCAGTATAAGAATGGTTGGGGTGGCAACAGCTTTTTTACAGAGCACCATGTGTGTTTTGTACAGTTATGTTTGTATTAAATTAAAGTACTTGTAAATGATTCCCTTCAAGATTTGTTTCTGCATGCATGGGTACAATCCTTCAGCTCCAGTAGTCTTGACCAAGCCCAGCACCAACATCTGGAGATGGGTTCCTGTCCGGGAGCTGTACTGTAATAACCACTGCTCCTGACAGGTTGCCCTTGTGGCTTTGAAGGATGGGTCAAATGCAGAGGAGAAATCCATTTCTGGGTCTTAGCACCAGTCCCTCGCTGATCTTGGATGAGGTCAGAGATGTTAAGAGGGGCCAGTCCGATCAAAGCTTTAAAAACAAACAAAAAATCTTAAAATTTATTCTAAAATTAAAAGGAAGCCAGTGCAAGGACGCAAGGACTGAAGTGATATGGTCGTGCCTTTAGGTTCCTTGGTGCTGCAAAGTTCTGGACTAACTATAGCCGGAAAAGTGCCATGTGTTAAATACCGGACTAGAGTGCATTACAGTAGTTCAGATTTAAAGAAATAAAAGTGTGCATAACTAGTTAAAAAAGGTTAAAAGATAAAAATGGTTCAACTGTATGATTGGGTTCCATGTAGATGCAGGGTATGTATTGTAATTTTGAGGTGAGCAGTTGTGATCAGTGTAATCAATCTTTGTTCACAAGGCTCTAGCTTCAGCAATTTATACATTTAAACATGTGGTAAAATTAATGCAGTCATACGTTTTGCAGGGGTGACTGCTGTTGTGTGACACTCATAGTCACACAATGTCAGAAGAGCAGGGCGGATGGATGCCAGTCCCAGTTTATCTGGGCTTGAGAGTGTAGAACCTCAGTCCACTGTTCCAAATGGGAAATAAACCTTAGGTATGACATGGTGCATAACCACAGATCCCAGATCTGGTTCCATTGGGCTTTTGCTCATTGTGCATTAGAGCCGCAGAGAGAAACTCAATATTGGATTTGTGGTCAGGGGAAGTGCCATATGTTCAGCCAAAAGTGCCCACTCAGGTGAAAGCGGCTTGTAATTCTGACAATGATTGGATAAACACTTATTGAAATAATGTTTGAATAGTTTGTAACATCCAATTACTCAGCATTTTCATAAAACGGTAATATGAATGTTTGATGCATATTAGCCTAACACCATCTCTTAAGACGGCAGAAGAGGACCATAATCGTCCCACAGTGGTGATTTGCAACTTGGGCTTAATATATAAAATATTTTGATCATCAATTAAGTTATCGATAATACATTTAATTATTGATTATTCTTTTGATGTCACAAAAGATATGTAGATTTGATTAATTTTGACAAAGGCAAAGCTTATGTGCTTCTCGAAGTTGTAACAATTTGGTTTGTTGAATAATACACCTTTCTACTTTATTCTGCAGTAATAGTCTACACAGTTGGCATGCACCCAGACAAACTGCAGCACGTGGAGATGTGTAAAAACACAACGTACCCAGAATATGCAAGTATACAGGTGCACATCCAGACAAGTGTAACATGAATCTGTGATTAACCGCAAACTTCACCCTTTTTTGGCTTCATTGTTTGGATTGGCGTGTTTTTGGGTGTAGTGGTTCTTTTGGAACCCCCTCTGTTGCTGCTGTTTACTCTGCTTTATTAGCATTAATACTGTTCTCTGTTCGCCAGTGACAGCCACTCTGGATATGTTCAATAGCTCTAAAAATAGTAGTGCTTATTTCCCCATGTTTGAACATGATCTCACTCAGGCTGGTCAAAGTGTTATTCATTTTCCCTCATCCTTTTGTCATGACTGAGCCGACCTGAAGCACGTTAGAGAAGCAAACTTTTGAAGTGATATCGAAATCTGTTTATTTTTATGTGTTCATCCATAATATACACTAAAGGTGACTTTGCATTTGTAGTTCTGCTGTTGAGGGTTAATGTTAAGATATACTTTTTAGTCCTCTGCATTTGACCCATACACCATATATTAGGAGTGGACTGACCGAGTGCTGATGTGAACATAATGTTCAGGAGAATGCAGGAGAATTTGATTTGAACATAAGCGAGCTGGAGCCATTTCCTTATATGGGCATTTGTTCTGACATTGTTAGCTTTGTGCTGTAACAGGTTGCAAAGGTAGTTGCAAAGACAAGCTGAAGTTTCTGTCATGAATGAAGGCACCTGATTAGTCAATCCATATATAGCTCATTAATGACTTTACAAAGACAACATCTAAATATAAACACCAGGATTAAAGAGAACGCATCATTTATAAACAACAGATTTATTAGGAGTCAGAGCAAGTTAATTTGTCCATGAGAACTTCCCAATTAGGCTAGGGGATTTAGCATTGTCCATCTTCAGTTTATGATGTGACCCAACCTTCAATTCCACTAGGAGGTTGTCCCAGTGTCAGGAGCAGTGGTGTACGCCTTGTAGCCTCTGAGGACCCATCTCCAGATGCTCTTGGTCAGGATGGCTGGAGTAACTGGAGGATACTTTTTAAACATCATGAGAGAACCTTATGTCCCACATTTGGGCATTACATTTCTACCATACACTCTGCATTTATGAGCTTGTTCTGCTGAACTTACTGACTGAAGACGTCCA